GTTTTCCCACCACAAGCCAATATCCGGTGCTATAAACGGATCGGTGAATCATCGGTAGTTCACTTAGGGGAATTGGCTAAATACCCTGATTTCAAATCAACCAAGAAGAGGCGTAAGAACCATATCTGCCCCCCCACCACCACACACACACACACACACCTTTCTGGTCGTGGTCATGGTCACCGGCTCGATTGAGTAACGAAGCATATTGCACTACTTGGACGTTTGATCCCGTCCGAAGGGCGTATGATCCGATGAACGGTTTTCCCACACCGCCCCGCATTGCTTTGCAGGTCAGGCTTTGGCTAACCGAAGACTCCGATAGTGGATGCCCTCAAGAAAATGCACCTGCCTTGTCCTGGGCAATCTGGCAGTATTCCGCCCACATGCAAATTACGGAACGTCTTTCATTTTCATAAAGATTATTGTACTGTGATTTGTTAAGCACACAGTCTGGCGTCAGACGTGTGTGAAAATAGGTATGTCTATCTGTGCATGTTCCTCACTGGACCTTTTGGTTCACGGTTGTTTCTTGCAGGTTGTTTGGAAATTCTTCCTCCCACAGAGAACCTTTTATCCGAAGTCTTGCCGACCTGTGCACTGAGAGCCTCTGTACTGGCCCGCGTTCAGTAGAGTTGGTTCGAAATCGCGAAAGAGAGCTTTGTTTGCTGATGCATCCTGACAGCGCTATTAGCACCACAAACTCGGATCGTGTTACCCGAAATCAACTTCAACTGGTGGTAGCGGTGAGCTATGTCCTGCATGCTACAGCTATATCATGGCGACTGAAGCCCGACATTCTGAATTCTCTGCAAATCATGAAACACAATCTAGCCAAGGTTTACTGAAGCATTTTGTGCAGTATCCATCATGTTCAAATACATTGAAACCAGCATTTCGATGAGGTTCTCTCTCTTGAAACTGATCTCGGCAGAGACCTACCTCAATTAAATGACTTGTTTTATTTCATTCTTTTTTATTTGCTACTAAACTACATTTTTCGAAAAAGACAGATATCGCAAATTCACCATGGTCACCATGGTGAGATTCGAACCCCCCCAACCCATGGCCCAATAAGATGGTGATTTATAAATCACATTCAAGGCCACCATTCGGATGAACCGAAAAGAACCGTGAGTAGCAAACGACAGTAATTTTTCCCTGTGTGAGCTTCATCAGTTGTCTGTGTATGGCCAATTTTATGGGGAAGACAAAAATGGATAGGAAGTAGATGCATTGCTGGTTGAAGAGTCTGACATCATCTGACCAATGTGTGCATGAGCATTAGGTTTCACGGCTACCGATTCACATGTACAGATACAAATTGTGTCACTGGGTCGTCAAGCGTTTTCTAAGCACACAGAAATCGACGGGTGGGTGATGATTTTTGGTTATCGTCGTTGTGGAATCTGGTTGAATTGGCTCATGTCATGAGTATGAAACATAAGCTTTTACCTGCGTTCATAATCGGCCTTTGATCGTGCCGACCGAATACACTTGTTCTAGTTT